CCCGGTATATATACTGTGGGTGAGGATACCCTCGGTATAAATACTGTGGGAGAGGATACCCTAGTATAAATACTGTGGGTGAGGATACCCCCGGTATAAATACTGTGGGTGAGGATACCCCCGGTATAAATACTGTGGGTGAGGATACCCCCGGTGTAAATACTGTGGGAGAGGATACCCCGGTATAAATACTGTGGGTGAGGATACCCCCGGTATAAATACTGTGGGTGAGGATACTCCCGGTATAAATACTGTGGGTGAGGATACCCCGGTATAAATACTGTGGGTGAGGATACCCCCGGTATAAATACTGTGGGTGAGGATACCCCCGGTGTAAATACTGTGGGAGAGGATACCCCGGTATAAATACTGTGGGTGAGGATACCCCCGGTATAAATACTGTGGGAGAGGATACCCCGGTATAAATACTGTGGGTGAGGATACCCCCGGTATAAATACTGTTGGTGAGGATACCCCCGGTATAAGTACTGTGGGTGAGGATACCCCCGGTATAAATACTGTGGGTGAGGATACCCCCGGTATAAATACTGTGGGTGAGGATACCCTCGGTATAAATACTGTGGGAGAGGATACCCTCGGTATAAATACTGTGGGAGAGTATACTCCCGCTCAGGATACTCAGCACTGTTTCAATTAACACTGTTTTGTAGCTGATCATCACACAAAAGCTACAGTGGGAAACGTGTGAACGAGATTTCCCGTCACTGCTGTTGAGTCTCCTGCTGTAACTCGTGGTCGTCCTCATACCATCAATTTTAAAGGAGTGGACCAGCAAGATGGTCTCGGTCAGATGACCTAAAGCTCCAGCTGTGGGTCATTATATGACTAAGTCCCGCGTCAGGAAACACGTGTACTGTTTCCTGAGAAACCTAACCTAACCTAACCTAACCTAAGCTAACCTCCGTTTTTTGATCCTCTGTAAAGATCAAAGAAAAATTCTTATAAAACCAAGAATATTATTTTGGGAGAATTGTATAAATGTTTCCAGTTAATAAATTACTAAATGACATTTCACTGATTAAATTTACTTACAAAAGTCGCGGTCTTTTTGATCACTATATATATATATATATATATATATATATATATATTATATATATATATATATATATATATATATATATATATATATATATATAATATGTGTGTGAAAGAGACAGAGATTAAACAGCAAAAGGCTCCTAATTAAAATGAAAAAGTCATAATTTCTCCCCCCCCCCACCTTCTCTCCTTCCCCCCGAAAGTTAACCTTATCTGGCCAGCATCTCTCCTTATAAAGCCAGCATCTCTCCTTATAAAGCCAGCATCTCTCCTTATAAAGCCAGCATCTCTCCTTATAAAGCCAGCATCTCTCCTTGTAAAGCCAGCATCTCTCCTTATAAAGCCAGCATCTCTCCTTATAAAGCCAGCATCTCTCCTTATAAAGCCAGCATCTCTCCTTATAAAGCCAGCATCTCTTCTTATAAAGCCAGCATCTCTTCTTATAAAGCAGCATCTTCCTTATAAAGCCAGCATCTCTTCTTATAAAGCCAGCATCTCTCCTTATAAAGCCAGCATCTCTCCTTATAAAGCCAGCATCTCTCCTTATAAAGCCAGCATCTCTCCTTATAAAGCCAGCATCTCTCCTTATAAAGCCAGCATCTCTCCTTATAAAGCCAGCAGCTCTCCTTATAAAGCCAGCAGCTCTCCTTATAAAGCCAGCATCTCTCCTTATAAAGCCAGCAGCTCTCCTTATAAAGCCAGCAGCTCTCCTTATAAAGCCAGCATCTCTCCTTATAAAGCCAGCATCTCTCCTTATAAAGCCAGCAGCTCTCCTTATAAAGCCAGCAGCTCTCCTTATAAGGCCAGCATCCTTATAAAGCCAGCATCTCTCCTTATAAAGCCAGCATCTCTCCTTATAAAGCCAGCATCTCTCCTTATAAAGCCAGCATCTCTCCTTATAAAGCCAGCATCTCTCCTTATAAAGCCAGCATCTCTCCTTATAAAGCCGGCATCTCTCCTTATAAAGCCAGCAGCTCTCCTTATAAAGCCAGCAGCTCTCCTTATAAAGCCAGCAGCTCTCATTATAAAGCCAGCAGCTCTCCTTATAAAGCCAGCAGCTCTCCTTGTAAAGCCAGCATCTCTCCTTATAAAGCCAGCAGCTCTCCTTATAAAGCCAGCATCTCTCCTTATAAAGCCAGCATCTCTAATTATAAAGCCAGCATCTCTCCTTATAAAGCCAGCCCCACTTCTTACAAAGCTAGTCCCACTTCTTATAAAGTCAGCCCCACTTCTTATAAAGCCAGCCCCACTTATAATGCCAGTCCCACTTATAAAGTCAGCCCCACTTATAATGCCAGTCCCACTTATAAAGTCAGCCCCTCTCCTTATAAGCAGAGTGCGTTAAAAAGGTACCAACACCACAAAGGTTAAGTCATTGTACTTTAAATTAATTTTAGTGTATAATAATAATAATAATAATAATAATAATAATAATAATAATAATAATAATATACGAGAGACTTCTTTAGATCAGAAAGTTTTATCCCTGACGTACAATCAACTTTATTAAATTAATAATAAATTTATCTAATGCCCCCATTTAGTTATCATGTACTCCCCTATATGTTGTTGTAGGGGATCGAGTCACAGTTCCTGGCCCCGCCTCTTCGCTAATCGCTACTAGGTCACTCCCTCACTGCTCTGTCGTAACTTATCTTAAAGCAATGTCCTGCCTTCAAGACATGCTCAGAATACTAAGGTAGATAAAATTTCATCTGGTTAATTACACATTGTTATGACATGTTGCAAGAATTCGGAAACGACAGTGCAATCACAGTGGAGCACGATTTGTGTGTCGTGCAAGAGCACTCTCAACACCCGTGTGTGTGAGCGCAGCGCAAAGCTGACAACCACCTGTGTGTGTGAGCACAATTAAGCTCTCAACCCGTGTGTGTGTGTGAACACAATTAAGCTCTCAACCCCTGTGTGTGTGTGAGCACAATTAAGCTCTCAACCCCTGTGTGTGTGTGAGCACAACTAAGCTCTCAACCCCTGTGTGTGTGTGAGCACAACTAAGCTCTCAACCCCTGTGTGTGTGTGAGCACAACTAAGCTCTCAACCCCTGTGTGTGTGTGAGCACAACTTAGCTCTCAACCCCTGTGTGTGTGTGAGCACAACTTAGCTCTCAACCCCTGTGTGTGTGTGAGCACAACTAAGCTCTCAACCCCTGTGTGTGTGTGAGCACAACTAAGCTCTCAACCCCTGTGTGTGTGTGAGCACAACTAAGCTCTCAACCCCTGTGTGTGTGTGAGCACAACTAAGCTCTCAACCCCTGTGTGTGTGTGAGCACAACTAAGCTCTCAACCCCTGTGTGTGTGTGTGTGTGAACAAAATAAAAAACTCACAACCCAGGTGTGAGCACAATACAAAGCTCGCAACCCCAGTGTGAGCACAATACAAAGCTCACAACCTCCTGTGTGTGAGCGCAATACAAAGCTCACAACCCCTGCGTGTGTGAGCGCAGTACAAAGCTCACAACCCCTGCGTGTGTGAGCGCAGTACAAAGCTCACAACCCCTCCGTGTGTGAGCGCAATACAAAGCTCACAACTCCTGCGTGTGTGAGCGCAGTACAAAGCTCACAACCCCTGCGTGTGTGAGCTTAGTACAAAGCTCACAACCCCGTGTGTGTGAGCGCAGTACAAAGCTCACAACCCCGTGTGTGTGAGCGCAGTACAAAGTTCACAACCTGTGTGTGAGCTTAGTACAAAGCTCACAACCCCGTGTGTGAGCATAGTACAAAGCTCACAACCCCAGTGTGAGCACAATACAAAGCTCACAACCCCAGTTTGAGCACAATACAAAGCTCACAACCCCAGTTTGAGCACAATACAAAGCTCACAACCCCCTGTGTGTGAGCATAGTACAAAGCTCACAACCCCCTGTGTGTGAGCATAGTACAAAGCTCACAACCCCCCTGTGTGTGAGCATAGTACAAAGCTCACAACCCCCCTGTGTGTGATCATAGTACAAAGCTCACAACCCCCCTGTGTGTGAGCATAGTACAAAGCTCACAACCCCCCTGTGTGTGAGCATAGTACAAAGCTCACAACCCCCCTGTGTGTGAGCATAGTACAAATCTCACAACCCCTGTGTGTGAGCATATTACAAAGATCACAACCCCCTGTGTGTGAGCATAGTACAAAGCTCACAACCCCCCTGTGTGTGAGCATAGTACAAAGCTCACAACCCCCCTGTGTGTGAGCATAGTACAAAGCTCACAGCCCCCCCTGTGTGTGAGCATAGTACAAAGCTCACAACCCCCCTGTGTGTGAGCATAGTACAAAGCTCACAACCCCCCTGTGTGTGAGCATAGTACAAAGCTCACAGCCCCCCTGTGTGTGAGCATAGTACAAAGCTCACAACCCCCTGTGTGTGAGCATAGTACAAAGCTCACAACCCCCCTGTGTGTGAGCATAGTACAAAGCTCACAACCCCCCTGTGAGCGCAGGGCAAAGCTTCCCAATTGACCCTCAAAGTTCAATGATAAGTCATTTCACACAATTTTGCAGCGGTAACTTCAACAATTATGGAAGCGACACAACTTCCATGCCATGACTACGCTTCACTATCAAAAATGTCTCAGGAATGTCCTGTGTCTCGTCTGTAGGAGAATGACAGCTTAAAGCTTTTTAATTATGTTTAATTCAGCTTTCTTGAGCTAGATGTTTAACTACAGATAGTGTTGGTATGTTTATCTCCGCAGAACATGTTTAACTAGTTTAACCATAAATATGAACATGCTTAACTTCCTTGGGTTTATAAGTATTAATGTATATTTCCTGGAATTAAATGTTTATCCTCCCATAAACATTCATTTAATGACCTAAATCATTCGTCAATGAACACACAAACTATCCTTTACTAGCATAAGTTAGTAAGAGTGACCTTATGCGTGTGATGAGACGCTGAGTGCAGTGGAATGAAAAAGGTAACTTACCTGGAATGACCCGGGGACCGTTGGCGGTGATTTGGCCGTAGCCGTACTTGACCTGGTCCGGGTCAGGGTTGGACACGACGGCGATATCTTCGAGCTCGTCATCGTTGGAGCCATGGCAGGTGGTGTAACGCACCCGCCCTCCATCCCCACTCATTTTCTTGGAGCCCATGCCCCACATCCTGCGGCCCGACATGCTGAAGGCCGCCTGGGGACGGGGATGTCAAGGTGGTAAATCTCCTTGGAGGTGTCACGGGGCCACGGTGACGGTGTTATGGGGCCACGGTGACGGTGTTACGGGGCCACGGTGACGGCTGATAACCAGCACCAACACCCGTCACCTGTGAGGCCGCTAACACACTGCTCACGGCTCATGAGTAGTGGTTACTGCGGGGACCGTGATCTGCTTCAACGATATCACTCACGGATCACTGACACAAATTATGATCTCACACGGGCTGGAGGATTACCAACCATTGTGAACCACTTTCTCGGGACGTCACACGACTTTCACTCCACGGCTGGACCCAACACAGGTGAAAACAATATTTGTGGGCCTTAACCTCTCTCCCTCTTGACTCACCTGACGGAGCGTCTTCACTGATAATCCTACACGCCACCTCTTTCCCTCACCTACACTTTCCAACTCCTGCCCCTTTTATTTATCCTCTTGTATACACTTTCATCATATCAGCTGGCAGCCTAGGATGGCTCCACAACTATGTAATGTTGCCCGAATTTGATGTCATGTTGGTGGTGTTGACATCTGCATCGCATTCTAGAATGGTGTGGGCAACACTTGCCTGGCTTAATATTACTCGCCCTGAGCGAGGCACGACCACCACCACACCCTCCAGTGTTGCTTCATCATCCTCGATACCAAGCTGCACCTCTCTAGCTGCGTACTCTCCTCCACTACTCTCTCACTCACTCTCTCCCTTCAAGAACGTATTGCTGGCTGTCAAGAAACATGTAAACAGTCATTTAAAGGCCGTACATTTGTCCTTCAAGTAATATGTAGCTGACCGCTCATTAATATGCACCTCAACAGAATGATGGTCTTCATGTAAGCGCGTGTAGTGGATCGTCATGCATTGCGTATCTTAAACTTAAATTGCTGGCCGTCAAGTGGGGAGAATTTTAGCCAATAGTAGCATGTAGTTGGCCTTTAAGTAACGAGTTGCTGGTCATAAATTAACACGGTAGAGACTGTGATATAACATGTAGCTAGGCATATGTAGCATGTGCGAGGCCATCAGGCAAGGATGTGCTGATCCACATGTAACATGGAGAGCGAGAGGGACCAGAAAACTTGATCATGTAACATGTGGACAGACGAGTCAGGGAAAGTGATCCTTAAGTAATATAGTGAATCAGAGGCCAGAAAGGTTGATCCTCAAGTAACGTGGGAAGATAGGACCCAGGAAGGCGGTGGTTGTCGGCGAGAAAGTTGCATAACACGATGAAGCAGGTCTTGGTGCGTTTAACGCAACTTAGGTAAGTGTAAGGTGTGAAGAGGAGTGTGTTGCGGGCGTGAGGCGGGTGACGAGGCGGTGAGGAGTGGTGAGCATACTGCAGCGTGCTCACACAGAGCCAGGTGGTGCAGCCAGCCTGGTGGTGCTCACACTCCACTACGCTTACCCACCTCCACACTCAGCACTGCTCCACACTAGGGCAGTGTCGTGGCCAACGTGGTGAACACACCAAACACGAGGCCCCACGTGTGTCTTGTGTTGGTGGAGAGTGGTGAGCGCAGCAGCCATGTGGTGCAGACATCAGTAAGTCAGTTTAGTGGCGGGTGTCGACGAGGTGGGGTGGAGCTACCCACAGCGAGTCCTACCCTAGTGTCTACCTCCCGCCCACGACACTGGGCGGTGTGTGGCAGTGGGTGGGCGGGCCTCACACCACCACACCGCCCACACGTCTCCACAACTGGCAGTGGTGTCAGGCCAATGTTGTGCCCGGCAGGCTGGGGCGGTCAATCTGCCTCAGCAACAACACAGTGGTGTCTCTGGCGCATCAACCAATCTCCAGCACGCCTCTAGCAGTGTGATGGGCGTGGAGAGGCCGGTGTGGGTGTTGGATGAAGATGTGGGCGAGAGAGTAGGCGGCTCGCTCACCTCACAACACACAGACTCCTCCTCACAGAAAGGCCACGCCACAACTGAGCCCGTTTCTTCACACACACACACACACACACCAACAGGCGGCCACACAAACGCACGAACTCACGCGCCAACGCACTCCAAACTCTTGGTATTCTCATATGACGACTTGATCCCAGTTTTAGAACCCACTCTACACTCTAGCCTCCACGCACTCCACACCAAAACCACAACACACAAAAGACACCACCAAATTCCATGGCATTAAACCCAAGTCTGGGCCGCGGGGAGGACTTCAGCACAACTGTAGCGATCGATGGAGCGAGTCCGCCAGCATCTCTGGTGAGGTGATGCTGCTGCTGCTGATGCTGTTAGTGCTGCTGATGATGCTGTTCTTGCTGATGTTAATGGCGCTGTTCCTCGTAGCTGTAGTACTGATACTACTGCTGTAGCTGGTGCTGCTGCATGTTGTTAATGGTGCTGTTCCACGTAGTTGTAGTACTGATATTGCTGTTGTAATTGTTGGTGTTGCATGTTAGTGGTGCTGTTTCTTGTTGTAGTACTACTACTGTTTTAGCTTGTGCTGCTCCTGGTGGTTATGGTGGTGCTGCTAGAGGGGTTGCTGGTGCTCCTGCTGGCGGTGCTGCTGTTGCTTCAAGCGGTGCTGCTGCTGGCGAAATTTCTGCTGGTAATGATACCGCTCCTTTCGGTGATGCTAATAGCGATGCCCCTGGCGATGGTGGTGGTGCTGCTAGTGCCGCTTCTGATGCTGGCTGGAGTGATGGTATTGATGCTGGTGGTACCATTGCTAACAGAGCTGCTGTTCATTGGTATGGTGGTCCTATAATTGTTGCTGCTGCTGCAGCTAATGTTGATGCTCCTGTTGGCAGGGCTGCTGCTGTTTGTTGTGGTGGTTGTGTTGGTGCTAATGTAGGTGTAAGTGACAGGGATGGTGGTGGTGGTTTTCTTAGCGGTGGTGATAGTGATGCTGGTGGTGGTGGTGGTGGTACCTGTGATGAGTCAGCTAACAAAGTAATGGCGCTGCTGCTTCCGTAAACACTTTGGGAACTAGATCCCAAAATTACACACACAAGAGCTATGACTCGGGGCCAGGAGTTATGGATCGACCCCTGCAATCACAGCTAGGTGAGTACACACACGCATACAGAGGCCAGAAGGCGTAAAAGAGCATGGGAAAAAGTACAGAACACAGAGGACGAAAGATAATAAATAGGCAAGCAAAATAGCGAGAAAGGACTATACAAGGATAAGAGAAGCAGAACGTCACTTTGACACAACAGCAAAGGCCAAATCAGAGCCGAAACTATTACACAGTCACATATGAAGATGATTGTAAAAGGCCATTAACACGGCTGAAGAGGGAGGGGGAACACACACAAAACAATAGAGAAGTTTGCCAAGAATTCAAAACAAGATGTAAGGAGGTTATAACTGAGGAAACAGGGATAGAGACAGAGTGCAGAGTTAAAAGGGCTAATCAGCATATACTGGACAGAATTCTTGCAGCAAAGGAGGAAGTGATGAGACTACTAAGAGTTAGACAACAAAAACCATGGAAGCAGATGGCATATCACCATGGATACTGAGAGGTATCTATTAGGTCCCTTGAGACTGGTAACATAAAGAACAGCTGGAAAACTACAATAGCGGTCCCAGTATACAAGCAGGGTCACAAATTAGAGACGAGGAATTATTGGCCAGTATCACTGGCATGTATACTGTCCACAGTATTGGAAAACATAATCAGTAAGAGATTTGTTGAGTACTTAAAAATGTAGGACATTTTTTTCCTACAGAAAACCAGCACAGATTTAAGCAAGACTAAGTCTTGCTCACTAACCTACTGGATTTCTACGACAGAATAATGGAAATCGAACGAGATCGACAGATGGGTCGACTGCATATTGTTGGGCTGTAGGGAACTAATTCACAAATAAAGGAGCATCCTGTGGTACGAGATAGTCCTACAGTAGATCTAGCAGTACGTAACAAACAAGACAGAGGGTGATGGTAAGTGCAGATGTTTCAGGGTGGGAAAGTGTAACAAGTGGGGTTCCCCGAGGATTTGTTCTAGGATCTTTATTATTCTTTATGTACGTAAATAACCTACCAGAGCGGATTAACAAGTTGTAACAAAGGTCAAACAAGTGGCTACTGGAGTTCAACCCAGTTAAGTGCAAGTCATGAAAATTGCGGATGGAGAGATGCGACCAGACACGGACGAGAGACGAGAAACTACAAATGCTGCTTAAGGAGAATGATATTGAAGTCAACATATCCCCAGATGTGTACATAAATCATATAACTGCTGTAGCATAACTAATATCAGAACTGCCTCAGACCCTCATTAAAAACTTTTACACCTGTATACGACATGTTAGGCCTATCATGGAATATGTAGCACCAACATAGAGCCCCCACCTGATCAAACATCCAGAGGTTTGCAACAAGACTAGAGCTGAGAGGATTCAGTTATGAAGACAGTCTAAAGGAACTGAACATGATGATTTTAGAAAAAAAATAAGTGCTTGGTGAGACAAGATTACGACATACAAGATACTTGGAAGCTTTGACAGAGCAAACAGTGGAAGACTTTGAAATGAGATACATAGGGGCGAGAGTCACAGATGGAAACTGAAGATACAAATGAGCACAGGAACATAAGGAAATACTTTTGGGTCTCAAGTTGCTAAATAAATGGAATGAGCTCTATGAAGTGGCAGAGACAAATTCAGTACACAGTTTCAAGAGTGGGTATGATAGAGCCCACGAGGCCACAAACCAATAATGCCGACGATTGTAGTTTAAGAAGCGGAATCAGGAGATGAAACCCGACCCCTGTAAACACAACTTGGTGAGAACAATTCGGTGAGTACGTACGGACACACACACACACACACACACACACACACACACACACACACACACACACACACACACACACACACACACACACACACACACACACACACACACACACAAATGTCCCAGTAGCAACCGGTGAAGAGG